CTTGAACTCACAGAGATCCAGTGGGATTTCTATCTCTGGAATGCTAGGATTAAAGGTGTGAGTGCCACCATTTTCTAGCCTTTGTATCTAGTGGCTGTCTGTTCTCTGACCCCACATAAATTTATTAGAGTACACAATATTTTGGGGAACACAATACCACCACAGCTTTTCAAACTGGAGCTATGGCCAAAGACACATAAATTTGACATATAGTAGGGCTATTGGCCATTCCTTGGGGCAAAACCACCAACTGATGTCTCTGATATGGTTCTTTGAGATTTTCTGATAAAACACTAAAAGCAAAGCAAGGACTGTCCTCGGGATGTAAAGGAATGTGAAGAAACAATCCCTCGAGTCAATGACAATTAAATGCCAATGTTTAGGAATTGCCACAGGGGCAGGCTGTGTTACTCCCATGAGAAACATGGTTTTATTTACAGCTCTAAGATCTTGTAATAGCCTCCATGTGGTCTCAGTCATTGTGTGTGGAAGTATGAGAGATGCTTCATATTCTCTCTCAGTCTGCTTGCTGGTGTTTTTTGGTTGAGATTCAGGGACTAACCACAGTGGCTCTGAGCAGACACTGCTCTGAGTCCATCAAGATGCAAGTGCATCTTTGCATTAGAGGGCTGGTCTAGGCTTAGAGTTCTACCAGAGAACATACTCTTGTCTCTGCCTTTAGTTTTCTCCATTTGCTGCCTTATCTGTCTCATGACCAGAATTGAGATTGCTGGCTGAATGTGAGGAAGAACTTGGAAGACAGTCTGAAGACAGAGGAAGATGGAGGACAGACATCCATAGCAGAGAGGCCTGTGTGATTCATAGTTAGAGTGGATCCATGCCCTGATACAGTGTGCTGAGTGCCACAGCTAACCAGTGTCTTCTTCTTGTCCTTCAGGTCAACACCATGATGTATCCTCAAGTCTTCATTTCAGGCCTCATACTACTTCTCCCAGGTGGGTGAGTAGGTGAGCTAGGGGATGCTAAGGAGGCTAGAGCTGGCAGAAGAGATGACAATGCTTGAGCCTTTTTGAGTATGGCTTATGTTATGAGCAGAGAACCAGGATAAATTGTAGCTCTAAAGAATTTTCTTAACCTGTATGAATTTCAAAACTTATGGCTAAATAAACATGATTACCTCTTTGGCAGCAGTTAACTCTGCAGCTCACAGAGGATTGAGCCTATATGATAATGAGTATTCAGAGACAGGTAGTACCTGGGGGGAGCACTCACTAACCTAAGACAGAGCACCTGTGTGGCCTGGGCAGGCGTCATCATGACAGGTAAGGTGACCTGCTGATGTTCCATGCAACCTAAGTCAGAAGCTCATTTTTTAGTAAAAGGGGGACCTGTAGGGTCCTGGCCCCTGTTTTGGGTAACTGTTGCCTTGCTTGCTGACCTTGACCTTGATATCCTCCCTATGCTAATTCCCTGCTGGGTTCCACCCCCCTGAATACTTAAGGGAAGTTCCTTGTTTGTGTATTCTGCATAATGGGCATTAACAGGTTAGATACATGATTGTAAAACATTGGTAGTGAACTTCTGCCCTCCGGGGTTCTCCCATTGTGCTGTAAGCCTGTATTTAAGACCTCCTCCCTCCTTCAAAAAAAGCATTCAGCATTAAAAAAAAAATAGTCACACAGTCAGACCCCTAACAAAAAATAAAAATAAAAAAATAAACATGATCACCAAGAACAGTTCAGGTGAGAACACATGCATTCATGTGATGGACTAGTTAAGGATGAGTGCACACGCATACATGTGATGGACAAGTAAGGATGATTGCATGTGCATACATGTTATGAACAAGTAAGGGTAAGTGCATATGCATGCATGTTATAGTCAAAGGTTGATAAAAAATTACAAACAGAGCTTTCCATGCGTGATGACTACTCAAAGTCAGCCTTCATTACATTTCTTTGTGTATTTTTGCTTTTTAAAACCATTTTCACATATTTAACTTAAAAACATTCTAATGCAAACTGTTCTATGAAAGGGGGGATAGAAGGAATAATATAATTGTTTTTCAGACAGGGTGTAAGTTAGTCCAGGCAGGCCTCCAACCCTATAGCTAGCTGAGGATCACTTAAATTTTCAATCCTCTTACCTTTACCTCCAAAGAGCTGAGATCACTGGTGAGAAATAAAATATATTTCTGTGTATTAATTAAAGTAGTATGTATTTTATTTGTGATCATAAAATGTATTTTGTTGTAGAATATTGTTTTAAAACATGTTACATTTGTTTATGCTGTGGAACACTTGTTTAATATATGAACATGTGTTGTTTTCTTTTATGTTTCATTTGTTTAACTCTGTGAGGCTGTACTACTTTGCCTGTCTAAATCACCTCATTGTCAGGAGAAAGAATAGGAAGGCTGGCAGGCAGAGAGAATAAATAGGAGAAGGAAAAGACAGAAAAAGCAAGGAGCAAGAGAACAAGGACAAAAGGACACTAGAGGCCAGCCACCCGGCCAGCCAGCCACACAGCGAGCCATAGAATAAGAGTGAAAGTAAGATTTACATAAGTAGGAAAAAGAAAGCCCAGAGACAAAGGTAGACAGGAAAATTTAAATGAAGGAGAGCTGGCTAGAAATAAGCCAAGCTAAGGCTGGTCATTCATAAGTAATAATGAGACTCCGTATGATTTATTTGGGAGTTGGAAGGTGGGCCTCCAAAGAGCAAAAGAAATAAAAGAGTAAGAAAAGAACCAAAACAGTTTTTAGCAAAATCAAGTAATGAGTGTCCCAGTAAGAAATACACTCAATTATAGAACAAGAAATGTGCTTTCTAGATCATGTCTCAACCTCACAGCCTAGGCCTGCATATAGGTGGTTAGCGAATCTCACAGTTCATTATTTTGTGCTTTTGTTTGTTTCTTTGTTTCCTGTGCTGGGATACAACACAGGTGCTAGCATGGGCTAGCCAAACACTGTATCATTGGGCTGCATCCTTAGCCCTCAGAGTTCCTTTAAAGGCCACTGTGGAAGATATTGGTATTAGAAATTGAATTCCATCATCCCCAAAAGAATTATATTTAATCATTTCCGTTTTTAAATTTCATCAATATGTTTTTGGTTGAATATTTTCTGACTATGTGGTCATACTTTGCTAGTTGGTAGGTCTTGCTCAAGTTCTGGAATGTCACCAACTTTTAAGAAGAGACCTCTGCAAGCCAGGCTGTGTTGGCGTACTCCTTTAATCCCAGCACTCGGGAGGCAGAGGCAGGCGGATCTCTGTGAGTTCAAGGCCAGCCTGGTCTCCAAAGAGAGTTCCAGGAAAGGCGCAAAGCTACACAGAGAAACCCTGTCTCAAAAAAAAAAAAGAAAACAGAGGCCTCTACTTAGTTTATGTGGGAGTGTGTGTGTGTGTGTGTGTGTGTGTGTGTGTGTGTGTGTGTGTGTATCTATGTGCATGTATGTGTCTGTGTGTGTTTAAAGGGTCAATCATAAAGTTCAAAATAAGCCTCAGTCTCTTCTTTCTGAAGACTGGCTTTGAAGTTACTAAGGTTCTGCCTTGAAGCCAACAATGCTTTTCCAAAACCATGGCTCTGCTCTTAGGAGAGGTGGGAAGAGTTAGTGATTTTGTTGTCATAGCACTGTGGGGAGGGGAGGAGGGATGGTTTCAGATAAGGTCTCCAAATCCTAGACCTGCCTTCAACTCAATAGTTAGATGAAGTTGGCCTTGAATTCCTCATCTTCCTCCCTCTACCTCCCAAGTTCCGGGATACAAGTGAGTTCTGGGTTTATAATCATTACCCACAGCCTGGCTGTTGAAATAAAAAGTTTTAAATAAAAAAGAAAGAAAGAAAGAAACATTTGAGCTGGTCTCAGTGGCACAAGTTTACTAACCCAGAACGCAGGAATCAGAGGTGGGAGATCTTGATTTTGAGACAGATGAGGTATAAAAAGACTCCGTCTCCAAAGAAAGTCACTCTCTGAAGAACATAAAAGACAAGAAAAGTCTTGTGAATATTATACAACAGACAAGTTGTTTTGTTCACAAATGTACCCATTAAGTAATGACACTGAGGGAGAATATGCTAAGAGAAAACTGTTTACAGTCGTCAAATTCAGATAGTAAAACTGGACATTTAATCATGGGATTGGAGAGGTAGGGCCAGCCAAGCTCTGGGAGTTTGAAGTCTGTTTTATGTAGCAAGTTCCAGGCCAACCAAAGCTGCAAAGTGAGATCCTGACTCAGAAAACCAAATGATAACAACAAACATTAAGTTGTCATTCCCTCCAACCCCCGAACACGACACTGGCATGCATGATCGTGTGAGTGCGCACGCGTGTGAGTGCTAACACACACACACACACACATACACACACACACACACACACACACACACACACAACCAAAACACCAATGATAAAGAAGGCTAGTGTTGTACCTGTTTCTCAAAACCCCCAGAGACCACAAGGAGCCAGTTTCCAATGCAAGCACATAAGGGTCCTTTTATTCAGGTTCAAACTGGGCCACCACCAAGCATGTGGAAGGAAATGTGGTGGCAGCCCAGGTATAGAGAGTTTTTATAGGAAAAACCATAAGCGAGGAATTGGCAGTTCGGGATTGGGCAGAAGGGATGCGACTCAAGGTGAAATTCTGAAACTATTGGTCTAGACTTTGGGTATGAAACCACATTTGAAACCATTGGGTTAGGCTTTTGGTGGGTAACCAGGAATCTATCTGCTGAATAGGATGATCTGGACTACTCAGGCACATTCCTGAGGTCATTCATGGAACTGAGTACAGCAGATGGTCTAAGATCGTGGCCCTTTCCGTAAGGTAGAGCCTGTAAAGTCAGGTCTAGGCCCTCACATTAGGGCTGTAGTTCAATGGACAGCACTTGCCTCAGTTTCATAATACCCTATATTAAATTCCAGTTGAATACCCCATACCATAATTTTTCTGAAGAGAAATAAGAACAAAATTTTAGGAAAATGTTGGGTACTAATTCTCCATTTCATCCCCCTCTCTTCTTTTTTCCATCACAGGCACTCTGGGTTCTTACACAGTAGTAAAAGGTGTGGTGGGTCACCCTGTCACACTGCCATGTACTTACTTAACAAATGGGGAGTCACTACCGCATGCTGGGGCCTTGGTGAATGTCGATCTGATTATTGTGCTAGAACACTTATCTGGACCAATGGATACCATGTCTCCTATAAGAGGAGCAGCCGATACCAGCTAAAGGGGCATATTTCAGAAGGAAATGTGTCCTTGACAATAGAGAATGCTGTTCAGAGTGACAGTGGTCCATATTGTTGTATAGTGGAGATTCCTGGATCTTTCCGTTATGTGACCTATTCCTTGGAAATTAAACCAGATAAGCTTTCTTTATTTCCTTTGTTTATTCCTTCAAGTGACCCTAGTCCTCTGTGTGCTAATATTTTCTGTTTTCCTCTAAGAAGGAAACCGAAGGTTGCTATAAATACATTTGTGTATAGGTGGAGAGTTCTGCTCCCTGTCTGCCCTGCCTTGAGCCTTTGAAATAGGTCTCATATCTAGTCACACAATTTGTTGCCTCCACACTGGAAATGTCCATATAGAAGAAGGTTCCCTCCAACACCTGTTCTCTGTCACTCAGCAGTGTAGTAACAGATGATCAGCAGCGGCTAGTCCATAAATGACACTGATACACAATTCCCTCCAATCATCTTAATTAGAATGAGGAGGCCCCAAGGCCGAGATCAGACCTCCAGATGGTAGGAAGAGCATTACACAGAAACAATACCATCTATGAGGTTCATCCCCTGATGGGGTGTGAAGAGGATTCCAGGGAAGGAGGGGCTTCTATTTACAACCCAGAGAGGAGTTTCTTTAAGAGCAGAAATGTGACAGAGAGAAGGAGGGAGGTCTAGAGCGAGAGTGAGAACGAGCGAGCACGAGAGAGAGAGAGAGAGAGAGAGAGAGAGAGAGAGAGAGAGAGAGAGAGAGATGCCAATACTGGAATGAGAGGCTCAGGCTGGTCCCCAGAGCAAGGAGAAAGTCTGACTTGTTACATCTTTTAGTGGTGGAGGTGTTAGCTGCTAGGTCTAAGGATGAAGGCAAACTAAGGTGCTTATTAACATATCAAAGCAGACACTAGCTGCCATTCTCTCAGCAAGGCCAGTACCTGGCACACCTTACCCCCTCCCTAAATTCTCCAGCCCAGGTACTGGGCTGGGCTGCCCCTCCCCCATCTGCTCTTCCCTATGTAACCCAGTCATTTTGGCTAGACAGGTCCCTTTGGATTCTTGACCTCTTGGCCCCCACTCTAGGCTCCTTGCTTTCCCCTCCTCTCACATGGGGAGTTCAGTTTGCTGGTCATGTTCACTCTGGACCCTCTGGATGCCTCTGTCTGTTTTCTCCCTCATATCTACAATAAATCATCTTCTCCACCATCTTCTTTTTTTCTTTAAATTTATTTTTAAGTATTTATTTATGTATTATGTACACAGTGTTCTGCCTGCATGCCAGAAGAGGGTGTCAGATCTCATTACAGATGGTTGTGAGCCACCATGTGGTTGATGGGAATTGAACTCAGGACCACTGGAAGAACAGCTAGTACTCTTAACCGCTGAGCCATCTTTCCAGCCCCCAACCATCTTCTTTTATTTCTTTTTTTTTTTTTATTCAGGAAAAAAGTTGCCTATCATGTGATTTAGTTCACCATAGCATAAGTGACACAGAGTATGGAACAGCCAGATGTTGATTAGGACTGTAAATTAGGGGCTGCTGTTAGACCCCTATCAGACAGCCTCTAAATATGTCAGCAAACAGAAGGAAGGCAGGGCTTGAACTATTCAGACTGTGGGATCATGTAAACCAATGTTCTAACAAAAGTTTATGAAAACTCCAGTATGGAATCATTACAGTTTCAGTGTTTCTTTCTGTGATTATTTGTTTCTTTCTTTGTTTCTTTCTTTGTTTCTTTCTTTGTTTCTTTGTTTCTTTCTTTGTTTCTTTGTTTCTTTCTTTCTTTCTTTCTTTCTTTCTTTCTTTCTTTCTTTCTTTCTTTCTTTCTTTCTTTCTTTCTTTCTTTCTTCCTTCCTTCCTTCCTCCTTCCTTTCTTTCTGTTTTTTTGCCCCCAGAGTTTATCTGTATAGTCATGGATATCCTGGAACGTGTTCTGTAGACCAGACTGGCCTTGAATTTACAGAGCTTCCCCTGCCTCTGCCTCCAGAGTACTGGAATTAGAGTATACCATAAGAACCAGGTTTTACATATCCTTGTTGTACATATCCTGATTTTTTTTTTTTTGCACTGACTAAAACAATGAGCTCATTTGGACTTCCTGCCTTCTTGTGCTGTAACTAATCTCTTTTTATTTAAGAGTTAACACAGACAATGGTAATCAATCATAGAAACTAGAAACAATCTGTCTCTATATATTTTAATTAAGAACATTCTGTGGTCTTTCAGCTTCTAGATTTTCTTCTATATCCATCCATTCATTTACTTTTGTGTTTAATTAGATTTGTAAAACTGCATTTATTATTGTATGGCTGTATGTAAATGATGTACACGTGGTGGGATTGCATAACATGATGTATTTTCCAGAGGTCAAAATCCTGGGCTTGGTACTCTCTTTATCATTTTATGTGAGTTCTATGGATGTAAGTCAATGACCAGGTCTGTCAAGTGCCTCTACACATTGAATCAATTTACTGGATCTCTGTTTATTGATTGACTGATTTCTTGATTTTGGTACTGGGCCTTGCTTTGTAAATCAGGCTCACTTAGAACTTCAGGCTCACACATTAGCCTCCCCAGTGATGGTATTATAGAAATGTGCCACATCTCTTGTTAGGATGAAGTCCATTCTAATCGTGCAAGGAGCTGCCTTTTAAAACTATGGGTGGGAGGCAACTCAAGGAATCCTGAAGGAGCTAGTCATGGAGTATGAAAGAATGATGTATAGAGACAGCTTTGTGGAGGAGACATAAGGTTCCTAGTGCCTATCACAGATGTGAAATTATGATACTAACTTGGCTGAAGTTGAATGATTCTGACATCCAAGGGTGCCCACTCACATGAGAATAAACACACATTCACACAAACACAGACACAGACAAGACACACACAGTCAGACAGATACACAGACACACACACAAACAGAGAGAGAGAGAGAGAGAGAGAGAGAGAGAGAGAGAGAGAGAGAGAGTAAAATGCCTTGGGGTTTGTGTAGAAATGTTTCTAGCATGCCTGAAACCTTGGGTTATGTCCCAGAACTGCAAACACAATAACCTCTTAAGGCCTCAGGTTATAGCTTGGGAAGGCAGTGGTTCAGCACACATTCCACCTAAAACTCTGGGGTTAGAGCCCCAGCACCAGAAATGGGATAGGCATGTCATTACAGCATAGCATTGCTAATTTAAGTTCATTAATTGAAGGTTTTATGGAGCTTAGAGATTTGTTAGCAGGTCAGTGTAGCTAGAGTTTTCCTGCCTGGCCCACAGTCAGGACAAATCTCTCTCACCCAACAGTCCCACAGCCGCTCAGACCCAACCAATTAAACACAGAGACTTATATTGCTTACAAACTGTATGGCCGTGGCAGGCTTCTTGCTAACTGTTCTTATATCTGAAATTAACCCATTTCTATAAATCTATACCTTGCC